TGTGTAGATTTAACAAAAAAATGAAAGGCAAGAGAATATTATTGCTGTTGATTACAACATCTTCAGTAAGTACCAGTGACATAAACCTCGTTTATATTTGGAAACTTTTTCAAGTTTGTGCCAGCAGCCTTCGGAGATTTCAATTCCTACGAGCTGACAGATGTATTGGTGCTGACAAAATAATCGAAGATTTTAGAAATCCGGCTTACGAATGACATTGAGCTAATTCTTCGACTATCAAACTTTACATGATCCTTCAAGAACAGCATAGTTCTCGGCGACAATGACGGTAATGTTTTCATAGATATCCTGGTAACTACTCACGATCCTAGTTCAGATTTCACCCATGTCCACATTATCTGAGACGGAATTGGAACGATCACTTGTTCCAACGAAACTGAGCCATTGATCAGCATGCGAGGCAAGCCTTTGGCTATCAACTACAACCAGAACAAGATCATCGACCTTTTTGGGACAAACATAGACGACCAGCGCGTGTCTTGGGTAAATCGCAACTGGACCAAAACCAAAGACATTATAATGGGAAAATTCAACGACCTTCTATTGGTATCAATAAAAACTCCACATTCAAATTTATTTTTAGATTTAAATGATGACTACTTGCCAGATTTGATGATTACCACGGAAGAAGCCTTCGAAATCTGGCAGGGGATCTGTGGAGGGTTCAAGTACTTTGAGAAAGTGGAGTGGCCTTTTGGAGTCGTAAGCGTCGGCAGTCATGCTGGTCAGTCTCTGTACCTATATGTCGATCTAAAAGGTTCGCTGATTTTGGTGGTACCACTGTGCTTAGATTATTTGCCGGAACTCGACCATCGCATTGTATCACGACGGCTGGCCCGACCTGAAGATAAACTTTACAGATGTAAAAAAAAAAAACTCTGGGGTTTCGTGCCACCAGACAAATGGAAGAACGTCATATACACTGATGCAATAACTCTGCCTACTGGAGACTTGAACATGGGCGGGTACATCGACCTGCTAGCGACGTTGAGACCAACAAGGATAAATGGACGAGAATGTTTTTGCAAGAAAATGTTGAATGCAAAATTTGCGAAGGAGTTAGTAGCACTTTTGAAATCTACTGGGACTCGGTAAACCCTTTCAAGAACGAGTCGGTGATGGGGGTGTTCTACGACTTTTATCAAGATGGAATCCTGGATGTTATATTAGTGGAACATGACAAAGCTACTGAACAGTACCACACTCGGACTTTCAAAAACAGCCTGGACTGCGATACGACCTTTGTTAGGGTGATGATTCTTACTGGATTCACCAATAGTAAATATCCGATTTCTAATGGAATCTGTTGGGAAAAAGAAGCGGACTTATGGTACTAATTTACCTGGACCGTCGATTGCTTATAAGTCGACCACTGAAGAAGGTTATCCTCGGGAAGCTATTGCTGCGCAGTTACCTTAGAGCGCTCGCTTTTCTTTGAATTTGCCTTACACAACTTTTGAACTTGGTCACACATCGAATTTCATTGAAAGATTGACCATTGAGGTAATTTTCTAAAATTATTATTATTATTATAATTTATTTATCCATTTATTTATTTCATGTTACTAATGCTAAAAAAGAGCATACAAACTTTTTTTCGTCCAATAATCTTAAGAATGTGAGGACTGTAAAAATTTACTGAGTGTATAAAAAATAAATTTTTTTGTTGCATTATTTTTTTTCGCCGAAACTTCGAAATTTAATTGAAGCTTCATTTTTTTTTTTTTATTTACATGCAATCAATCATTTCTTTAATTTATAATTTTCATAGCCCGAAGATCAAAATATTCCATTTTTAAATCGAAAGGTTAAAAAATAAACATTTTTTTTTATCGAAGCCAAAAAGAAGTATATGAAAAAAAAGTTATTTAAAAAAAAAAATTAAAAAATGTTAATTTTTCACTTAGTTAAAGCCCAAAATGGAGTTGACCTCACTTTCAAATAATTATCGAAATTTTTATTATGCACTTTTGAAATTAGCAACTCGATTTAATTATAATATACTTATTGATAATAAATCTATTGAAATTGTTATGATCTAGGTCACAGAAAAATACAGCGAGTGGCAACAAATAATCCCAAATTCGCAAATGATGGTCTCTTTAACCCAATATGCGAAGCAAGCAAATGGGAAGCTCAACAATTCGTAACACATAGTAAATTAATATTGCTAAGTATTGCAGCAGTAACAGGTACTTGCGGTCTGATCTCGATGATAATAATAGCTTTCTATTAGAAGAAAATACGAAAGGAGAAAATAGAAAGACTGCAGGAAGCTCACAAACTCCATTGTGATGCTCTATGTACAATGAGTTATTGTTGTTTTTTACCTTTAACTGTTGTGATTATAATAAAATGATAAAATAAAAAAAAATGAGGTGACTTCGATTATTTTAGACCAACCAATTTTTTTTTTTTTGGTTTTTAAATGTAATTTTTGAAAACAAATTTTAAAGGGCTTCCTTCTACTTTGTATGTTCATTAAAAAAAAAAAAAAAAAAAAAAAATTAGTAAAATGGTTGACCCTGAAGGGTGCTTAAAATTACATTTATGATTTATGACTCAGATGTTAAAAGAAATGAGAAATGTTAATTTTTTGTAATAATTTTTTGTAAAAAATTTTTTTGATAAATGAAAAAAAAGATTATTAAGTGACTGCTACAGTCACTAAAATTAAAATTTTACATAAATTAATTATTTATAATTAATTCATTAATTACAAATATAATTAGTTATTTATATGCGCAGAACGGTATTTTGAGGTTGCAAATTTTTTTTCAAATTTACTTGGATTTCTTATTTATATGATGTTTTATATAATGGTAATAGTAGTAAATACTCTTTATGACACGTAGTAATAAATTACTGCAGTTAATATGCGACCACCGAGATTTCTGAATTATGAATAAAAAACTTTAGCTGAATGATTTTTTTTATATTTGAAATCACACTGGACATAAAATTGGGTACTTTATAAATAAATTATTAATTATAACAGTGCTATCACTAGATTAATTACAAATAATTCGATGGACAAATGTGACCGACCAAATTTATCGAATTAGAAAACTATTAAACACTCTTCCGAAAATTTGA